AGGCCCACTAAGGCCCGGGCCCGGGACAAAATACAGCATTAGATACAAGCGGATTGGATGTGGAATCGAGAGGTAAAGTGGTAATTGAGGCTTGATTTTGTCCGTGGAATCAAGGTAAGTGTTTGGTCTAACCTTAGCTTGAGGAAATATGTGTTGTTGTCTTATTTGCTACGTTTTAGGGTTGAGTACGACGTATAGGTATGGTGACGAGTATCTATACGTTGGTGTCGAGCATGCAAGTGAGTCTTATATTGTGACTGTTGTAACTCTTATTATGTACTGTTCGTGCTTAAATTGATGACTATCCATGTTGAATAAGACTTACGATATTTTCTTGGTAATTGACCATTGTTCAGTATTGACTCAAGTTGAGGCTTATTTTGTGAAGTTAACTGTTGAAACGAGATTGGTTATAGTTGATTCCCTTGCTGGGATGTTATTGTTTATATTGTTGATTCCCTTGCCGAGATGTTATTGTTTCTATTGTTTGGGTGAGGAAGAGTGTAAGCACAAAGGGTGATGTCGTGTACGATATTGTGAGAGAGTGTTAAAGCACGGAGGGTGATGTCATGCCATATTTAGTGAGTGTTAATGCACGAAGGGTGATGCCGTGCCTATTTTTGTGAGTGTTAATGCACGAAGGGTGATGCCGTGCCATGTGTCACACCTCCTTTTTTACCAACCGAGAGGGGGATATAAGGGAGTTTTTCCAATTAAAGTGACATTAATCGAAATGAGATTATTTTATTTATTTTTAGAGTCGCCATTTGGAATAATTTATTTGGTGTCCCAAGTCACCGGTTTATTTTAAAAGCCCAAATCGAGGAAGTTTTTGACTTTATTTAAAAGTCTGCGAACCAGAAATTCTAGATAAGGAATTCTGTTAACCCAGAAGAAGATGTTAGGCATTCCCGGGTTCCGTGGTTCTAGCACGATCGCTTAGCAATTTATACTTGGCTTAAATTGTTTAACTACTCATTTTAGGACCTATGTTTATTTTACGTTTTACAGCTATTAATCACTTGATAATCCGTATTTAAAGAATTAACTTAAGATGAGTTACGTGTACGTATACTCATTTCGTTTGGCGCGTCAAAATCATATCATGTGTACGTGTCGACAATTAATCACGCTTTATTATTATCAAGCAAGTTCGGTCGAAGTTGCGCGAATGCATACCTCGATTTTGTTATTAGGATCATAATCATGTCACGCTAACGTGTACACAATCACGATGATAGATTAAGTCGCGCCTAAAACAAACTACGATATTTATAATCATTTACCTCACTAAACTTGAGAATTCTTAGAAAAGTCATAAACTATGTTGTTAAAGATTCTGATATGGTAGGTCTATCTCTAATCCTAGAGCTACTGCCAATTTTCTGTAGCTAGCTTGAGTTGGTATTAGCCATTTAAACTTTGAAAATGGCTATGTGGATACTTCCTACATCCTTTTTCATGAGATGATGAATAGTTATCACAAGATATTTGAGAAAATTTTTAAGGAGCCATTCAGTTATTTAAAAACAAACTGAAGTCAATCACCATTATTACAAAGTTGTATGATATACATGTATAATCCTAGAAACTTAAACGTGTTCAAGAGTGTTGAGTTCTGAGCCATCATCATTTTGATTTGGTCCTTTCTGCCTCAAATATCACAGTTTTTCTTCTGTGGATATCACAGAGTAAACATCACAATATAGGCAGAAGCTTGTATAATTTCAATCTAGTAGAGGCCACAAAATAAAACATTATGCTGATACTGTTGTGAATTGTATAAAAAAACATGGAACTACACCATTATTGGAGACCAAATAAAAATTCATAGATAATGTCTAGTAATATACAACAGCCAGCTTTACAGAGTTATCAAACAATCAGATACCAGAAGAGACTCCTCGTTGAGTCACTATTAGAGATTAAATGAACCAACTTTGAAAAATAAAGGGGCAATCTTCACATGCCAAGTCATTAGGAAATTATTCCATCCAAGAATTAACATACTTTACCATCACTACTGTTTCAAAGAATCAAATGCTAATATACTGTAATGACTCCATTTCACAAGTGAATCAATTCATCAACCATGAACAAATATTGACATACACACAAAGCAAAAAGATTTGTAGTTAAACATCAGGATTCTAACAGATTCGGCATGTTCATAGAGTTAGCAACTCAAATATTCATTCATTTTTTCAAATAGAAAATAACAAAAGTAAGCGGACGCACCTAAAGGCAGAAAACAACAATTAGAGGACCAAATAAAGGTATGAACTTCAAAGCTGGAGCTCAGCAGCTCCAAAAACGAGCAACCCCAACAGATTCGACAACTTCAATAGCTCAAACCATTTAGAGAAATCCCAAAAAATGTACAACAATTGAATGAAAACCCGAAACCAACTTTAAATCTTCCTTTTCATCGTTTTTTTCTCTTTTCTTTTTTTTTTTTTTTGATTTTTCGGAGTTCTTTTTTTTAGATCTGAAATTCGGTACTTTTAAATCCAGATGTTTCTGTTTGTGAAAGTGAGAAAGGAATGAAGAAGGAAAGGGGGAATAACGCTGTTCTGGGTCTGTGAGATGAGGAATGGAGCAGCGTTTGTTTTTGGGTGTTGAAGAAAATGGGGAAGAAGCCTTTTTCTTCTTTCTAGATGCGCCGTTTGGTCCTAGGGTCTAAAAGAATATGGGAAAATCTGATTGTGGTAATTAGGTCCTAGCTAGGTTAAATAGAGCTATGGTTATTTTAAGGGCAGAGAATGGGTATTGGGCTAAAATAATTGGGCTGGAATGTGGGTAATTGGGTTATTTGGGATTTTTGGGCTTCAAATTAAGCTGGCCCAAACAAAATTAAAATGGCAAATCTACTTCTTCTTTTTTTTCCTTTTTTTTCTTTAATTAATTAAAATCCTAAATCAATATATTTTGTAGAAACTAAAATTCTTTATCTATTTTTAACATTAAAACAACTAATTAACTTAAAACTAAAGAAAAATGTTAATTTTAAAGGCTAAAATCTAAATATGTAAAAATGACCATTTTTTATAATTGTTTGCTTAATAAAATTAATTCCTATATGTAAATTGAACCTAAGATGGTATGAAAATAAAACGTGACAATTTGTTATGATTTTTCTATGATTTTAAAATATTAAAAATGCTTGAAATGCAACTAAATAAAGAAAAACTCCTAAAATCAATTAAAATTATTTTTGGCTTATTTTAGGAGTTATTTTCATATAGGGCAAAAATTAGGAGCTCACATCCGCCCCTCTTTGCTCGGAAACATGAAGAGTTTTTGGGCAAAGATAAAGTGAGCAAATACGAGCAATTTTTGCCCGTTTGAAATTCCATGGAAAGCATTTTTTTTTGAAAAAGTATGACCGAACCTTGCTTCGGAGGTTGCCTACATATCCTTGGCTATAAAGGAATGAGGTCAATATAGTTTTGGAAGTTTTGGCAGCTGAAACTACCGAATAACTGTGATTTCACTGTTGTTGTTGCTGTTTCTGCTTGCTGAGCTCCTTATTATACCAAAATGAAAAATAAAAAACTAGCTAACTAAGCCTATCAACTACGAGTTACAAGATTCTTATCTATAAATCTTCTAAAGCTTGATCTTGAGTCTTGGTTGGTTTTTCCTACAGACTCTGATCTGAATCTTGATGCCCGTTTGCTGCAACTGCTGGTTCATTTTTCTTCACCTTTTCAGATCAAGGCGGGACATGCAAAGCTTGTGACTTCAATCATATCTTGAGCAGTCCGCATCTTTTCTCCGCTTCTATACTTAAAGCTCATTTCTTTTTCTTGTTTTTCTTTTCTTTTATTTGAATCGAGACTTCTTTTCTTGGTCGCCTCGAAACTCATGCCTCAAGGTAAAAACCTGCTCAGGCACCAAAACAAATGAACGAAATTTCCTACCCCAGTTTTCACTAGGAAATTATATGCAATTAAATCTTGAAAGAGGCTAATATTGCAATTATATGCAATTTAGCTTTAAAAATATTAAATAAATTTGTAAAAATATATAAAAATTATGCTAGCTATATTTTAATATAAATATGAGAATCCACTAAATGAATCACCAAAAATGATAATTTTGGAGATAATTATTGGTTTTTTTTATGAAATAGGGCAATAAATTGATTTAAAAAATCTTTAAAAATTAAGAGAACCTTGGGACATATTTATATGTGCACATACATACTATTTTGAGAGTATTTTGCATATTAAAAATATACAGGGAAAAATTGGGTATCTACAGGTAGCGAAAATGAAAGCCTTTGTCATCCCAACCGGAGAGTATTAACAATATATGGAGGATCAAATATAGTACTTTTTGGCTGCATTTGCATTGACGGTTGTTTTAGGGATATTTCCTTCGATGTGTCCCAGGTGCAACACTCTCTTTGGCAGTACTCTTGTGAGTTACCATGTATGAATCTTTCCAATCTGGAACCAATTTTCCTTCAAATGTTCTGAATCTTTGTTTTATTTCCTTAAAATTTATCTTCATTGCAATCTAATTCTTGATTCATTATTTTGAGGTCTGCCAGCATTTCAGGATCTGGGCATGAAGTCCGCAAGTATGTCATGTTATTGAAAACTGCATTTAACAGAACTGAAAAGAAAAATAAGAAAAGTGACAAGACTAAGAAAAAAGACATTCCTAGACAATGAAATATTAATTTCATTTGATTTTTGATTTTTGATTTTTTTGATTTTTTGATTTTTTTTCAATTTTTGAAGATAGAAGGGTTTACATCGGAAAGTAAGACAATAAAGTAAAATATTCGGATCATACCCTAAGATAATCCGGACGCAGAAAGGATAGCAAGATTGGCTACTGAGATTCTCGTCTGATAGGGAACTTTCAGGCTTGGCGACCGTTTTTTGGGCTTTTCTTCAGTCTCGGCAATGGCTGTAATGGCCTTCAGTGCCAGATCAAATTCCTCATCTTCACAAATCATTCCGGCTATTGGCCTAGTCTTGTGAGCAAGCAACATATTGTTCATCACATCAGGAGCTTCTTCATCTCGAAAAATGATTCTTTCAACTTCAATCAAGTCTTCAACTCCCCTTTTAAGGGTTCATGTGATGACCCAAAGGGTCATCACTTGCTTTCAGTTGATTTATGTGTCTTTGAGGCCTTGAAAACCTCATTAGAGTCGCCTCGGTTTGCGTGCGCAGTCTGGCGTGTAGTCGAAAAGCTTAAATATGAAACTTTGTGAAAAATGCTAAGTTTTGATGTTAAAATGAATAAATTTGACTTCGGTCAACATTTTAGGTAAACGGACCCGGATCCGTGATTCAATGGTCCAGGAGGGTCCGTAGGAAAATATGGGACTTGGGCGTATGCCCGGAATCGAATTCCAAGGTCCCAAGCCCGAGAAATGAATTTTTAGTGAAATTGTTTTCAGAAATTGTTTAAGGAAATTTGAAATGAAAACTGATTAGAAAGCAATGGTATCGGGCCCGTATTTTGGTTCCGGCGCACGGTGCAGGTCTTATATATGACTTGAGTCATTCCTGTGAAATTTGGTTAAAAAACAAACGTCGTTTGACGCGATCCGGACCTTAATTGAGAAATTTGATGTTTAAAATAGTTTTGAGAAATTTCATTGATCTCGAGGTTTAATTCGATGCTCGTGATGTTATTTTGGTAATTTGATTACACGAATATGTCCGTAGGATGTTTTTGAGGTTGTGTGTATACTTGGGTTGGAGTTTCAAGGGCTCGAGTGAGTTTCGAGTAGGCTCCGGGATGCCTTAGGCTTAGAAAGTCAGATGTTGCAGGTTCAGGAAGTTGCAGGTCTCTGAACCCTCTAGTGCGGTCCGCGAGAAATTGCATGCGACCACGGAGGGGCCAGTGCGGCCGCGGTCGCCTTTGTGTGTAGCGTGGTGGAGGCTGTGCGGACGCAGTCGGCCTTGTGTGGTCCGCACAGGGTGTTGAACTGCAGGTCTTCAGGGAGGCCTGTGAGGCCGCGGTCCATTTGATACGGACCGCATAGGGGGTTTGAGAGGGGTATAAATAAACGGGAATTTCAGTTATTTTCCACTTTTCAAAACCCCAAAAACATAAGAGGCGATTTTTCAAACAACCTTTCTTCTCCAAAAACGTTGGTAAGTGATTTCTAACTCATTTTCCTCACTCCTTAACATCTTTTAACATGATTTCAACTTCAAATCAAAGATTTTCATGGGGAAAATTGGGTGTTTTAGGTAGAACCTAGGTGTTTTCTAAAATTGGGGATTTGGACCTCAATTTGTGGTCCGATTTCAAAACAAATTATATATTTGGATTCGTGAAAGAATGGGTAACCAGGTTTTGGTCCGAACCTTGGGTTTTGAACACGTGGGTCCGGGGGTGATTTTTGACTTTTGGGTAAAACTTTGGAAAACTCATTTTCATGCATTGGGGTTGATTCATTTAGCACTTATTGATGTAATTAAGTAACTTCTGACTAGATTCGAGCGGATTGGTGGTGGAATCGAGGGGTAAAGCTATAGTTGAGACTTGAGTGGTGTTCAAGGCATCGAGGTAAGTGTTTGGTCTAACCCTAGCTTGATCGATTAGGAGTTGAGTCATATCTGCTACTTGCTACTTTTTGAGTACGACGTATAGGCATGGTGACGAGTATCTATACGTTGGTGTCAAGCATGACCGTGAGTCTTAAATTGAAAGTTGTTGTGTTCTTAAATGACACTTGGGTGCCTTATTTTATGATCTTCTATGATTGAGCATTTTCAATAATTAAACTGAGTACAAGCTAAGTTGAGATTGGTTATAGCTGATTCTCCCTTGCCGGGATGACTATTTCAATATTGTTGTTCCCTTGTTGGGAAAATTATTACATTGTTGTGTTCCCTTGCCGGGAAGTTATTATATTGATTATCTTCCCTTGCCAGGATTCCTTGAAATTACAAGATATTATGAAATGAGAGCGGGTGGTACGCCTACCACAAGATATTATGAAATGAGAGCGGGTGGTACGCCTACCACAAGATATTATGAAATAGGAGCGGGTGGTACACCTACCACAAGATATTATGAAATGGGAGAGAATGGTATGCCTACCACAAGATATTATGAAATGGGAGAGAATGGTATGCCTACCACAAGATATGAGAAATGGGAACAGGTTGCACGCCTGCAATAAGATGGAAACTAAAAGTGAAAGTTGTCTTTACTTTTCTTTATCTGTGTTAGAAGTTATATTGTCAGCTTCCTTATTTATTCCTTGCTATTTTGCTTTATCAACTATCCCCGAGGCATGTTCCCCTTCCCTAGTCTTAATTGCTTATTATCTGTTTACTTTTCCGCCATATATTATATAATTGCACAGGTTTATCTAGAGTCTGGTCCTAGCCTCGTCACTACTTTGCCGGGGTTAGGCCAGGCACTTACTAGCACATGGGGTCGGTTATGCTGATACTACACTCTGCACTGTGTGTAGATCCCGGAGTAGCTTTCGGACAGTAGTTGGAGGGCTTCTTTCAGTCCATCCGGAGACCCAAGGTAGACCTGCAGACGTTTGCGGGCCCTGGCGTCTCCCTCTATCTCTACTTCTTGTTTCCTTTATCTCTTGCTCAGGAACAATACTATGTATTTTTTTCAGACTTTGTATGTAGTGACTCTTAGACAGTCCATGGTACCATGACACCAGATTTTGGGGTATTGAAGTTTAAAAGTGGTAATGGACGTAGCTCTAAGCTTTATAAATATTGACTTCCG